ACAACAAAAATTCTGAACAGCTTGAGAGCTGTAGAGAAATCGCTTTACTCTGTCCAGATTGGAGGTTGTTGGTCCAGCCAGCTCAACCTGCCAGGTCTCTTGCTCCTATGCTAGTCCTTTTTGTGTTGGAACCACAGATATTAGTGTTCCCCCCTAATATTAATTTACGTGATGATATTGTTGTCATTATTATTATTTGTAATATCCAGCATATTTCCTGGGGCATGAATCGTACTTGAGTCCATATGCCCAACACACAGGGCCCGGCAAGTACAAGATGTGCAATAAGTGTCCATGCACGGGTGGTGACAGTCATTGGCCAAGCACTTTCCCATGCCTTACCCTACGTAATAACTTTAAGAGTGGATTATATCATACCTTCATCTTGCTCTTGAATCAGTATTTTTTTGTTTTTAAATTTATAACATCAATGAGTAAGGAAATGCCTAGTAATCACAATAGAAATCTCTTAAGACTTTATCAATAAAGTTCTGATATTTGAAATCCTAAATCTTCTCAGTCAGATGTGTTTTTGGTGAAGGTTGATTGCTATTCCTTGCATGGTAACTGCATTTAAGTTTAATGCAGTGGCTACATTGGAAAGAGCAGTGACATGCTTAATTGCCTGGAGAATGTAATGTCACACCTCCACCCACGACCACTTCCTTTTCTGTGGTCAGGTTCATGAAGAGTAACACTGGCTCTCAGGTGACCTCACTAAATACATTACTGTGTTTAAGTGTTCACATGAGCAGTGTGATTTCCCTGCTATTATGGATGACGAAAAGAGTCAAAAAATTCTGTAAAATATCTGAAAAGATTTATTCTGAGCCAAATATGAGTGACCAATGGTCCGTGACAACCCTCAGGAGATCCTGAAAACATGTGCCCAAGATTGTCGGGGTACAGCCTAGTTTGTACGTTTTAGGGAGACATGAGACATCAGTCAAATACATGTAAGATGTACATTGGTTCAGTTTGGAAAGGCAGCACCAAGCCGGGAAGGGGAGGCTTCCAGGTTATGTATGGGTAGATGTAACAATTTTCTGGTTGCCAATTGTTTGAAAGAGTTAAGTTATTAACTGGAAGACTTGGAATCAGTAGAAAGGAATGTCTGGATTATGATGATAAGGCATTGTGGAGACCAAAGTTTATCATGCAGATGAAGCCTCCAGGCTTCAGAGAGAAGAAGTTGAAAATGTTTCTCAGCAGACTTAGTTTGTTCTGTGAATACAATTACACATGTATTCTGAAAGGGAGGAGGGTGTAATGAGGCACCCCGCACCCCCCATCATGGCCTGAACCAGTCCCTCAGGTTAGCCTTGGAATGCCCTTGCCCAGAGGAGAGGTCTATTCATATGGCTGGTGGGCTTAGAATTGTATTGTTGGTTTACCTTATGTATTTTCAAATGTAATTTAATACCTCTTGAACGGGAATGAAAGGCTATTATTTACTGTATGTTGTTCAGAATAACATTAAGGTACTTGTGTTTGCCTCCTGAGACCAGTGACACAGAAGTTCTTTCCCATAAGGAGCTCCTACCGGTCACTCGGGTCGTGGGGACAGACACAGGCTGGCCATGTTCTGAAGTGGTTTACATGCTGGGGGCCTCTGCTCTGCCAAAGGGACAGTAAGTGGTGGCAAGAGGAACTGTCTTGGCCTCCTAATGATCTATGTCCATGTTTTATGGGAAATTTAGCTGCATGGGTTAATAACAGCATTGTGTGCCCTGGTAATCTATATTTCATTAGGAATAATTAACTTGAAAAAGAAATGTAACTTATAATTATGAAAAAAGTGATAAAAATGATATTACCTCTGGGTGATGTCTCTTTGATATAGTGTTTAAATAAGGCCACAGCTGTGAAGACAAATGGAATCATCTGAAATATTATCTCACTTGTTAGCAAGTGTTTCATCCATACCTACTTTATTGAAAGCTAAGATCGATAAAATTGGTCAGTGAATGAGAAAACACGAGGACAGAGCCATCAGGCCTGTCGGCTCATTAGCTCCTTGTGAACTCTGCATGTTCACAAGGAAACCTCCATGACCTCAGCTCCCCTGAAACAGGCAGAATGAAACACATGTGTTCTAGCTTTGATCTTGTCTCTCACGAATATGCTCTATCCAGGACTTCTCTGTCGTCACTCCCCAGAACCTGGAAGAAGAAGCCATAGTCATGCCAGGAGTGTGTCAGGTTGTGCAGGAGCCAGCAGCAGCAGCCACATATGATGGGCTGTTTGCACACAAGGTGGGTGTGCCCATGGAGCAGGTCACAAGAACCTGTGGGAGATCACAGACTACAGAGCTCCTTCTGGCATTTGGCACGCTAAGGAAAGTATAAGGCAATTCTGTCTGATTATTTAAAATGGAACTGTTTCTGTCCCAAGCCCATTTACTTTAGGAGGAGATAGGATTCCATTCTTGAGATGTCCATGGCTGCTTCTGATGGATCTGGTGGCAGTTCTTTCTGGATTTCTCAGAAGATCATCAGTGCAGCACCCTGAGGAAAGCAGTAACATAGAAATTACGCACTTCTTCTGGAGATTCACTTTTATGCAAATCAAAGATGAAGCATTTTGGGGGCAATAATAGGATGTTAATTGTTAATCAATTCTGGGTCCTGGGAATATGAGGGAGTTTAGTTATTTATATTTTATATTCCTCTTTAAAAATCTTTAAAATTGGCCAGTCGTGGTGGCTCACGCCTATAATCCCAGCACTTTGGGAGGCCAAGGCGGGTGGATCATAGGGATCGAGACCATCCTAGCCAACATGGTGAAACCCCATCTCTACTAAAAATACAAAAATTAGCCGGGTATGGTGACTCATGCCTGTAATCACAGCTACTCGGGAGGTTGAGACACGAGAATTGTTTGAACCAGGGAGTCGGAGGTTGCTGTGAGCCAAGATTGTACCACTGCACTCCAGCCTGGCTACAGAGGGAGACTCCATCTCAAAAAAATTAAAAATAAATAAAAACAAAATTAAATTGAAGAAAAAGATAAAACTCTTTTAAAAGTTTTGAAAACATCAAAAATGCGACAGTTATTTTCTCTTGAGATATTTAAGGATTAGAGCTACTTTAAAAATATACATAAAGCAAGAGTCTGGCACACATGTATTCCTTTTTTTTTTTTTTTTTTAAGACAGTCTCTTTTTGTCACCAGGTGCCAGGCCGGAGTGCAGTGGCATGATCTTGGCTCACTGCAACCTTTGCCTCCCGGGTTCAAGCAATTCTTCTGCCTCAGCCTCCCGAGTAGCTGGGACTACAGGCGCGTGCCACCACACCCAGCTAATTTTTGTATTTTTTAGTAGAGATGGGGTTTCACCATGTTGGCCAGGATGGTCTCAATCTCTTGACCTCATGATCTGCCCGCCTCGGCCTCCCCAAGTGCTGGGATTACAGGCGTGAGCCACTGCACCTGGCCCACGTATTCCTAACATAACCATACTGTGTGTCATTTCAGAGATTTTGGCGTACTCTGGAATGGGCACCTCGATGATCTACAGTTTTCAAGAACAGTACAGTTACATCTTCAGTAAGAACTCCAGCTTCTTTGCAGCTTTATTTCCTGAGGAGCTCATGCTGACCTGAGAGACGGCCACACTGAGCTGTGAACCACTATCCCCCAGCTTACTGTTCTACGTGAGCTCCTTCTGCGAGGAATACCTTTCAGTTGTTCTCTCCCTAAAAGGTGAGTGTCCTCAGCATAAGAACAAGAAGAGTGAGGCAAAAATATGGCCATAACAAGGTGGAGCCTTTCAGTGTTCAAACCACAAACATGAAACTCAACAGCATTCCCTGCAACTGTCGTTTTATTAGCATTGGTTTATTTTTTCTTTATAGCCCAAAATATATATCAGAAAAGTTAAATTTTGGTGGTTAAAATTAAGATACCTTTCTTCCATAAGATTTTGATCATTTTTATGTATTTGATATAAAACTGTGTTGCTTGTTGCCAGGAGTCCTTTCCTTCTCTAGATGAATAAGCTACATTTTTAATCAATTTACTTTGAAATAAGAGATATTATCTTATCTATGGAAACTATTTCCTCCTCCTAAATAATGTGGCACTTAAGTCATATAAAAGCTGATATCCGTGTGCATAGTTACCCACAGTTGCCCTTCATGCATTGTCAGCTGGGAAGTCGCTCGTGTCATCTCTGCATGAAACAGAGAAGTGGCACCAGAGTTACCCAGCCCATGCCCAAGCAGGGCTTTTTTAGCTGTGCACATTGGAGAGCAACACCAGCCTTCAACCTTGCCTCATCTCATGGCACATGAGGGGAGAAAATTCTGGAAGCACCTCCACACTTGGCATAGGCAAAAAGTGCGTTGTGGAGTAGAGTGTCTACTTGTAAAGGAGACCGTTGTGTGGGTTGGGAGGTTTAGCTATTGTCGTAAACCCACTTCTCTCTTTTCCCTGTTCCTTAATTATGGCAGAAACATTAGGAAAAAAATCCTGGTTGTGCAAAGAAAAACAAATTAGCTATGCAAATATCAGTAAATATATTAAAATGAATTAAAATAAGTCACAGTAAAAGAAGTTATTTAAAAATTTTTTTTTTTGTAGCACAATTCAAGTTTATACAACATTTGTTCTTGCAACACAAAACTTAAACAATATTATTTAGCATTCGGATGTACATGAACTAGGATACTTATGAGAAAGAAACCCAATTGCGTCAAAAGTATGACATTGTGGAAAAAATGAACTCAAAAGTATCAAAATGCACAAAGCACTAGTCTTCTGCCATTACTGCTTAGAACGATATGTTTCTCCATTTACAAAATAGAATCAGGACAATTTAATTTTTTTATATTTTGCATGCAAAACACTGCAATTGCTTATTTATGTAGGAGGGCACTCTCACCAGCTTCTTCTATACACAATTGAGTATACAATATTGCATGGAAGAAAACAGCAGCTCAATTGAAATTTTAGAAAAAAAATCAAATAGATAAATGTAGATTTAAAATCCATTACTTGGGAAAATGAATCAATGAATAAAAGGTCTACTTGTTTGCAGCTTCCACACACGGCACCTACCTACTACCTCTCCTCCATGCTTAACTGGGTTTAAAAAGGTGAGCTATGCGTAGAAGAACTACTTGGGATATTTAAGTGCTGTATTTGAACTATAAGCCTATAGATGCCAGTCTGCAGCTGCAAGGGAGAACTTGCTAGTACACTACTATAAACAGGTAAATTACCTGTTTGTACTTGATATAGTGCATATGAAATGACTGATTTAATACAAAACTACAGAACATGCAAACTTTTTTAATGAGATGTTAAGTATTACTTCAGTGGAGAGCAAAACTTACGTAACTTTTTGCTAATGCGTGTAGTACCAAAAAGCAAACATGGTTTTAGCTTCCTTTACTCAAAATATGAACATTAAGTGTTGTGAATTTGTCTGCCAAGTGGCTCAGAAATACATTATAAATAACCTAGTTAAAAAAGAAACTGTGAACCATCTTGGTCAGTCTATTCAATTCTATGTTTATATGTTATTTCCTCAAGCAATCGCTTCATAATTATGGGGTTTACAAAAAGGCTGAGAAAGAAGAGGGAAGGCGAAACAGCCTCTACTGCATTACAAGGAACATCAGGATAAACTGTACAAAGAATCACATGGTTTCCATACCATGAATGTAGAAAGCAGACCAGGTTTAGGAATGATAGGACAGTGCACTCTCTGCAATAGCCAACTACAACAAAACACTTTGAAAGTAATGGTGAAAATTATGTAAAGAGGAAAATTCAAGCCTTTAAATAGCATTATGTCAAGAGGTGAAAACAAAGGTATCAAAACACCCTGCTGCATTACATTGATAGTTATAGACTGATAGAATGACCTCTGTTTTCAATGAGGATGTCTCCATATTTTAGTTCAGTGATGTAATAAAGTACTGATTACTGACTTTTAACCCAACTCCTAATAGGCTGCATTAAGACAGCAAAATTAGCCAAATACAACAAAGTATTTAAACCACTACTTTGTGTTTGTTTTCTTGGATGTAGGAAAATTACAGGGTTAGGCTAGTTGTAAGTGAAAAAGCCACAGGATTAAAAAAAGGGCTCATGGGGAAAAATACACACACCCATACACACCTACACACCCACCCACACAAACACATGCCAACCAACCAATCAGCAAGTCATCAGTAAAACTTATTAACCAGGGTGACTGTTCTTGATAATAGTTTAACCCTGCTGTAGAATGCTATGTTGCCTTTAAAAATCAATTATTATCCACAATCTGAATATCAGGCCCTAACCCACCCTCCCCTCTCTCAAAATTTGAGGTATATTCAATTATTGCATGACTTGGCTAAGAAAAAACTCTTTTTTAGTAAGCTTATGTGGATGGCAAGTCAAAGGAATCAATATTTCAAATGCAAGATATAAAATTTAAGCTTATATATGTTAGTTAGCTGTACTGCTCATGAAATAAATATTTGGAAATATGTGTAAATATCTGCAGGTCATAAGAACACCATTTTAGGGCACTGTATTCTAAGACCAGAGAATACATTTTGAAGTCATCACACTTTATGCGATTCATAAAAGCGACAAAAAATATTATGCAGGTGGGTTGGCATATGTTCAGCAGACGCCTATCAACAACTCTGGGAAACCTGGTTACAAGTGTATTTTTGAAGGGATGGGGCTAACTTTGTCCAAACAGTAAATCTTCCCCCAGTGATAGCTTTGGTGCAATAAGTAATCAGCATTCAAGATGGGTCTGAGAGAGGCATTCTAAAGAATGTTCTTTAATTCTCCACACATAACTGAGGTCAATCCATTCAAACAGCTAATAAAGAAAATCCATAGGTACTAAGATAACTGTTCTCTCTTTATATGATACTAACAGCCTTATGGCTATGATTCTATTTTTAAATCCCCTTTTACTACCAGCAGGAGTTTGAAAGTGTTTCAATGCTATATAAATGTAAGAATCTAGAGGAGAAAAAAATATGCATACTGGAATGGTTTCTCCTTTAGACTTCCCAAACTTAAGATTTTATAAATAAAACTAGTCAGCTGTATCTAAAGAGACATGAAATCCATGTGAAAGGGGAGAGAAAATCCAAAGTTCAGTCATCCAGCAATTTAGGAGTGTGCCCCTCCTTACCTTAACTAAGCTTTCACATAAAGCTTAAAGTCACTGAGGAAAGATTTGGTCACCAACCTTATAGGCAGCGCTCTTACCTATGCCAGGAAATCCCCAGTAGAGTGCATTCTTAAGGCAGAAGGCTAGAGCTAATTGCTTATCTCAGCACCCTAAGTTTACATCACAGCAGCCACTACTGCTCACACAGTTAGGGCTACCAAATATGTAGAGTTGGCCTTTGTAGAATCAGACCTTCAACACAATCTAATTAATATATTAGCTAGGGAGCTGAAAAGGTCAAATGTTACTGGTGTATTTTGTCTTTGCTCTCCCTTGGGTATAAGGTGTACATTTTATTAGAAAGGGAAAAGAGGCTTACTTGATCAGGAATCCCAGTAAAAGCCTGATCATGATTCTTTAGCCCCTCCTCCAAAACATGGTGTTTTTTTTTTTTTTTTTTCCTGGTAGACTGATTTGTTATGAATTTCTCTCTCCCCTCACCCCTCTTAAAGTATTTAGCTGAAGAAGCTGGCAGATAAGAGAGTGACAGACAGACAGGGAGCAGTGTGAGGCCACAGGAGAGTCATTCTTCCCAAGTTATCAGTCCGTCCATCCATCACTGGAGAAGAGCTTTGATTGCCTCGTTGTCAGTGGCTTCAAAGGCGGTCAGTCCATCTGGGCCTTTCACAGTCTTATCAGCACCTTCTGACAGAAGCAATTTCACACAAGAAACATGACCCTCATAGACAGCAGACAGCAGAGGAGTAATATGATGTTTATCTGGAGCATTAATATCTGCTCCTTTTAGCAGCAGAAATTCCAGAATTTCAAGCTGCCCACAGTCTGCTGCGTAATGAAGAGGCTTCCTTCCACCTTCTAGTGTCCAGTTGACATCTTCTCCCTTGGCCACCGTCTTTCACCTCATCCAAGTCTCCGTTTTTCAGGGCCCACATGAACTCCTTGTCGCACATCACTGCAGCGGGGCAGTCCGGTTGGCTGGGCAGAAGATGAGGAGGCGGTGGCAGCAGCAAGCGGATGCCGCTGGGCAAGAGGGAGGCAGGGCCGTGCGAAGCCAGAGAGAAGAGAGGGCGGGTTAGGCTGCCAGGTGGGCGAGGCAGTTGTCCGCTGCGACCGCTCCGTTCGGGCGACGGAAAGAAAGTTCTTTTGCAGCCATGGGGCCCAGCAGAACAGGTTCCGCCTCTTTAAAATGTTTTCAAGGTGCACCCGTGTTGTAAGGGGTATCAGAACTTCATTCTTTATGGCTAAATTATATTTCATTGTATGTGTCTACCACAATTTTTAAATTCAGTCATCTGCTGGGTGGTTTTCACCTTTTGAAAATTGTGACGAAAGCTACTATTAACATATTTTAAAAAACAGAAGTGAAATGCTTATAAAAACTGAATGGTAATGCAGTATTGCTTAAGGTTTTGCCATTTAATAATATAAATTTTACATAAATAACAGAGCCCCACTCAGTTTTCATAGCATTAACTTCAACTTTTGCCTTTATTTAATGAAAATGGGGGAACTTGATTGTTGGTGTTTTTTAAGAGTTAGGTTCTCACTCTGTCACCCAGGCTGGAGTACAGTGCCGCAGTCACAGCTCACCGCCACCTCGAACTCCTGGGCTCAAGGAATCCCCTTGCCTCAGTCTCCTGAGTAGCCAGGCCTACAGGTATGCACCACTGTGGAAGGAAAATAAAATAGAACAGAATATAGTTCAAATAATAAGCATAACGTAGGCAGGAGTTAACTAAAAGTAAAGGCAAAGCAGACTGGGCACACCCTCTCTTTACACAGGTAAGAGTACCAGAGCACATCTTCAGGGCTGCTGCTGGCACATTCCTGCATTTCCTGTTCTTCTGACCTCCCTGGATGACCACCCCCACCTTTCCACTCCCACCTCAGCTGCAAGCTATAGAGTCAAATGACCACGAAGCCCAAGGTTGTAAAACTTGATTGACTGTCTTTGTCTGAAATCCACTTCCTGCCTTGATTTCCCGCCTCAAACAGCATATGAGCTAAACTGCCCACTTTGTTGGGGGTCGGCGGCCATTTTAGGCTGAGCCTGCTGCCCACCTGGACGCCCAGGCGTCCGAAACAAAGTTCTCTTCCGTCTCCATCGGTCTCTTTGTCTTCTTAAGCTGGAGTTTTGCTACAACACCACCACACACAGCTGAAAACGGGGGAACTTGGAAAAGATACTGTTATAACCTTTTTGGTCTTGACTTCTGAAATAATTAGAAGTGGATTTAAACTTTGGTCCTAGAATAGCCATAAATGATCGTTATTCCAGGAAAAGTAAATATTGGTGTGCTCAAGTAAATGCTTAATAGATTCAAATTTTATTAAATAAATTTAAACAAAATGTGCTTTAGAACCTGCATTCACAGTTTAATACTTTATTGGCTTTACTTGGCAGCCAATGTTGTCTAGTTTATCATAGTGATGACTGGGGATATGATATGCCAGTGAGAAGTTTTATAAAACTCTGTTTTGCCCAGTTAAAATTGTTACTCCAAAAATGTAAGTAAGACTTAGAGCAAAAATATATAATCTTAAAGAGAAGAGATACATTCAGAGATACATTGCATCATAGATCTTGCTAGGACATAAAGTATAGTCAAGGTGTTTTGTTTTGTTTAACAATATTTAGCAGTGAGATTGTCAGGTTGTCATTGATATTTGACCATTTAAAATACCAAGCTCTCCTCACTAGTTTTCCTTTACTTGGCAGGGAAATGTCTGATTTATCACAGTAACTACTGGAGATGTACCAGTGGGAACCCATTCCCACTAGGTACAAAAGAACAAATGCTACAGCAAATTAAGCTGAAGGAAAAATCAAGTTTTGACTTAAATAGAAATATGTCTTTAAAAAGCACCAGAGGCTGGGTGCAGTAGCTCATTCCTATAATCCCAGCACTTTGGGAGGCTGAGGCAGGCGGATCACTTGAGGTCAGGAGTTCAAGACCAGCCTAGCCAACAAGGTCCCTGTCTCTACTAAAAATACAGAAATTAGCTGGGCATGATGGTAGGTGCCGGTAATCCCAGCTACTTGGGAGGCTGAGGCAGGAGAATCACTTGAACCTGGGAGGCAGAGGTTGCAGTAAGCCAAGACTGTGTCATTGCACTCCAGCCTGGGCAACAAGAGCAAAACTGCATCTCAAAAATAAATAAATAAATAAAAATGAAAGCACCAAAGTATTTAAATTATGCATTGTCACTTGGTTTTGAAGAATAACTTTTGTATGTTGAATCTGTATATATCATACATCTTTCTGTCTGCATTACAAATTTCCTGTTGATATGAGAAAAGCTTTGAGGTTTAAAATATGTGTCTTTATGGATTATACCAATTGTAGATACTTAAAACATGAATAAACAGAGGAAAAAGGGATAGACAGTAGGATGGGGTGGAATTTGAGATATTAGAGAAATTCTTTATGTAACAGTGTTCCCCTTTCTAAATCATCCACTGTTTGAAGTTAATTTCTTTAACCTTTGTAATAGCACTAATGCTATATGGCTTATTTTTATCATTTTTCTTGAATTTCCTTTGATTTCCCTTCTCCTATTATCAAAATTGCTTACTGGCCTAACATGGTGACTCATGCCTATAACCCCAGCACTTTGAGAGGGCAAGGCAAGAGGATTGCTTGAGGCCAGGAGTTCGAGACCAGTGTAAGCAACATAGTAAGACCCTGTTTCTACAAAAAATGTTTAAAAATTAGCTGGCTGTAATGGCACAGGCTGAGGCTGCCATGAGCTATGATCATGCCACCACACTCCAGCCTGGGCAACAGAGCAAGACCCTGTCCCACTTAAAAAAGAACAAAACACCTCCTGCCCATTTTACCATTCCCACATTTGCTTCTTGTAGGAACACTTCATAGGTTGACCAGAATACAAGGAAATAAGGGAAATAAGCCATCCTTTCAGCAGAGACAGAATTCAATGATTCAATGCTGTCAAATCCCTGGTGTTGGAGACAATTTTAGGAAAGCAGAAGAAAGAATGATTCCCCGTGACAGGGGTCAGAGGCCCTATACTGCAAATGCAGGAAGCACTGGCTATGCTGGCAGAAGCTCCTTGTCATATTCATAATTTCCCAGTGAGAGAGAAGGTACAAAACCACTCTCGTCTGAGCACACATGTCATCCTAAATGCTACCTGTGAGACCAGCAGGACCTTCCATGAAAAACGTTTCTACACCGTCTCCCTCACTTGACAGTCAGGCCTAATGTAAGAAACTTTGCATTTTTCTAACAATTCAGGAAAGCTGAAATCAAAGCAGACATCAAGTTCACAAACGATATATTAATCAGGGCTCAGATATGGCGATGATGATGATTAGTTGAGTTGAAGTCTTGCTCTGTCGCCCAAGCTGGAGTGCAGTGGCATGATCTCGGCTCACTGCAACCTCCGCCTCCTGGATTCAAGCAATTCTCCTGCCTCAGCCTCCCAAGTAGCTGGGATTACAGGCACTGGGATTAGATGTCTGGCTAATTTTTGTATTTTAAGTAGAGATGAGGTTTCACCATGTTGACCAGGCTGACCTCTTTGGCCAGGCTGGTCTCAAACTCCTGACCTTATGATCTGCCTGCCTCGGCCTCCCAAAGTGCTGGAATTTCAGGCATGAGCCACCACATCTGGCTGGAAATTATTTAATGATAAAATGAAATTTAAGTTTATGGGAAGAAGAGAAAGAACTGTTCATTTTCTTTTAGCAAATGAATACATTTAAGGCTGTGGCTTGGGTCCTGCCTTGCCTGTGGGTTGAGGTGAGCTATGTCCAGTGCTCTCGCTACTCTTGGAAAACAGGACCTAAATATTCTGCACACAGACATTCTTTCCAGCTGCCAGTGATTTTCCGTGAAAACATACTTTACTATTTAGGCATTACATTCCTAGTGCCTTTATTTTTTCTTCTTCACAAAGAATTACATTGAAATATAAATAAGTTTTCACCTCCTTTCCAGGTGTGCATTTGGGCATTCCCAGCTACTCAGGAGGCTGAGGAGGGAGGATCTCTTGAGCCTGGGAGTTCAAGGCTGCATTGAGCCATTATTGCATCACTGCACTCCAGCACGGGCAACAGAGTGAGACCCTGTCTCAAAAAATAATAGTTAATTATTTTCCTTTTGCCTATACATAAATTGTACATTTTTTTGATATTTAAGAACCATTTGGAGCAAATCCGCTTGTGGCATGTTAATGATTCCTGCTTCGGTAGTTGGGCTCACCCAGCTCTGTTTTGTCCTAAACAACTGCTGGGATCCTTATTGTTTTTTCAGCCATTCGTATATTGATTCTCTTGATCATTTCTTTTACCCCTTGTGTATAACGGCACAAACCTGCGAATGTTAGAGAAGACACATGAATGGGCATTTAAAATATGTTGAGCAGCGCAGTAACTATTAAAAGTAGTGTGGCTTTCAAACACATGATGATTCATAAAATTGTGACTTCTTATTTTTTAAACAGAAAATGCGATGAATTTTAGTGCGCTCCCAGGGTGTTCTTGTAAATGGTAAAAACCAATCTGTAACAGCGAGTGCAACCTAACTGAAAGATTTGTAAATTCTGTTTAACACGGTGTCGTAGTATAGGAAACCAGAAAGAATTGGAAACACAGGTGAAAGAAAGAGACTGCTCCCTGCAACTTTTACCCATGATAGTAACAGTATACATTTAGACAGAAAAGATTATGAGATTCCAAAACGTTCAAAGACAGTATTGAGTTTCAGAGAATAGTGGGATATAACCCAGTCCTTGGCGGTCAGCTGAACCATATTATAATTGTTTTTCACATGGGAGGAAGAAGACTTTGCTCTCTTTAAAAACCTGCTGTTGAGCTATGTACTGTCTGCCCCAGCTGATAGTCACAGCCTTGTCCTTAGTGTGAGCAGAGTGAAGAGTTGATCCCCTCACTAGTGGGCAGGCTCTCAGCCTTGTTCTTTACTAGAGTAGGTGCAGTCTGAGTGCAGTGATGGTTTCTCTCTGTGCCCTGAGGACTGCTCCCTCCACTGCCAGGACAGATGTCTGTGTGTGTTCTTCT